GGGGGGACCAAATTGGGAGGGCGGGACAAATTAACCGGAATTACATTGGACCCTCTAGGGAAATTTCCTTCGGGTTATGACCAACTCGGGATACGCCCAGAGTCACGGAACGGATTAAGTTCGTATCCCGAGGTACCACTGTATTCAGGGACTCTGCACCCTTCTCTTTCCCACAACACAGAGATGGCCTATCACTCTACTTCCAGTATTCAGGTAAGTTTCTGCTTTAAACCTCTTCATGGCCCTGATCAGTTTATGGTTAAGCACAGATTTTCCCATTAAAACTGCCCTCTTTTATTCTAATAATATCATAGCAATAAGATCAGTGAAAATAGGCAAAGCTACATTTATGCAACAATTGCTATTGCTTGGTTTAAACTTAAAAGTATTCATCATGGTGGAAACATAGCTGAAACATGATCCAGTAAAGAAGCCATATGTATTGTGTATTTGCTGATACAACTTAAGACTTAATTTTGGATGTAGAGGACAGGTGATACACAATAAAAAGAGATAAAAAAATGGATTATAGAAATATAGCTTTTCTGTCATAAGTCAACTTTCTCATCCATCAAATCAAAAGCATTTGTTTTAAGTCACCAAGAGCCCCCATCCAATAAAAGGCACTGTAGGCATGTTGACTGATAGACATTCTTTGCCAGACAGCTGGTCCTATAGAAGAGCAGAGCATTAAACTGAAGGATAGTAGAATTCCAAGTGGTCCATGCCTTTTATTTCAATGGAGGTAAGTTTTCCTGAGAGTAGCTTGTCCAGTTACATCTAGAAGATAAAAGGAACATTAGCCAAGTACAGAATTTGCCACAAGGGAGAAAGAAGAGCACTAATTGAATCTGGATGTATAAAACCAACCAACCAACCAATGTAGATCTTTTAGTTGAAGGTCACTCAGTGGGCTTCATAATGAATAGTGATTAGAATTTGGGTTTCCCAGTTCCAAATTGAAGTTGTAAATTGAACACCATATTGGATTTTCAGATATATGTCTATAATGGAAATATTAGTGAACTTGAGAACACTATTGTCTCTTTTTAGTAACTGTAAGTTCACATTAATTATAATAAGTGTGAACTAGTCTGGTTTTAGGATCTATCTAGCTTAGTAATGGCTAGCTAATGCATCTCAGAAAATATCATTCCCAACTGCCTGAGATGAGAGATTAGTGACATTGATGCAGAGATATGACAGTTGAATGCAACTCTTTCAACCTCCAAATCTCTACACCATTAAACATTGTGATAGGATGACCAAAGGACATTTTGAATTCAGGATAGACCTGTCACTGAATATTTCCTCTCCCTCCCTTGCTCACCATACCAAAAAGGTGGGATTTTCATAGCGAGAAATTTTTTGTCAGTGAGAACACTGAAAAAGCAGATCAGGATAAGAGCTTTGTTACAAAGCAGACTCAGAATAATAGGAGGTTCATACCCATTGGCTCAATCACAAAGAGATGAGAAATCTGTTCTGAATCATTCTATTTATTTATGTCATGATTTTATATAACACCCAATTCCATGGGACTCAGTATAGTTTATAAAACAAGGAGACATTTATAATACAACATATAGCAGCTAATAAACTACCTAAAAGGGAGCCCACAAACCTTTAGGCTTCAAATGCCACTTCATTTAAAGTTGTATCAGGTATGACCCCAGATATAATGTTGAAGAACACAAGCCCAGTTCCGTCAGTCAGTTCATCCCATTGTATTTCAGTTTTAGCTTTTGGGGATTGAATCTTAAGTGTTAGTCTTCCAGCTGAGAAGCTAGTTCTAATGAATCCATATATGACTAGTCACAGAATATCCAATTAACATCTTGTCTCACTGCTGCTTCATCCATTATTAGCATATGATAATAGTATAGTGATAATAAGCTAAAATGTTCATCAAGCAAATTCAATATTTGCACACATGTTGTGGCCTATTCAGGTCAAATCACTTTCATATTCATTACATGCTCAGCAAGTCACTTTATGTCTTGGCTGAACTCTTCATCCTTACCTTGGATTTCCTTCACAAACCATCAGATCAGCTTCTCCATTAACTCCCCTGTATGGTGTTCCCAGTTCTCTGAATGTCCTGCAGAAAGATAAAACATGGGCACTTAAAAGATTCCCTGTGCAGATTCACTTGTGCTAATACAGGTAGTCCTCAACTTATGACCACTCATTCAGCAACCATTCAAAGTTATGACAGCACTGAATGAATGGTGGTTACAACTGGTCCTTGGAGTTCCAGCCACCCCAGCACCCGTGCAGTCACATGATCACAATCTGGATGCTTGGCAACCAGATCACACTTATGACCATTTGCAGCACCCCACAATCATGTGATTGCCATTTGCAACCTTCCCTACCAGCTTCCCCAGAAAGTCAATGGGGAGGCCAGGAGGGAAGGTCACAAGTCACTGAGGTAAGTCTCCCCCACCCAAGCACTCTCCCCCAGCCCCTCTGCATTTGCACTTCGCCAGCCACTTGCATACCCTTGCGCACCCTCCCTGACCCTTGCCACCCCTCTCTTGCACCCTCCCCCACCTGGCAGCAGCCACTTACTTGCCTGCTGGCCTGCTTGCAAGCCACCTGAAACTTGCAACTTCCTGCCGGCTTCCTCACTGACTTGTTTGTGGGAAGCTGGCAGGAGGTTGCCTCGCCCAACAACGATGGATTCAGTTAACAATGGAACCGGGACTGCAGGGATTCCCACCGCTAAGCAATGCAGTTGCGCTATGACTGCATTGCTTAGCAATGGAAATTCCAGTTCCAATTACCATCATATGTCAAGGACTACCTGTATTTGATCATCAAGTTCACATTCCACTTCTCTGATTTCCTGTTTAAGATGAGCCGGAGTAAATTGGGGGGCTTAAGTCCTTTAGCTAGTATAATGGACTAACTAAAGCATTTCTCATACCTTGGTTCCTTCATTCTTGCTGGGTTCCTGAGTTCGACTTATCCAGAGATTAATACGGGATGAAACTCCTCCTGGGATCCTCAAACTTTCCTAACCATAAGGAAACAGAAAGAATACTGAATCACCCAGTGAGAAGAATAGATCACTTATTATCTTGTTTAATATTGAGAAACTTAAGGTTCAGTGTGACAGATGATTAGCAAACATGAAAAACATGAAAACATGAAAAACCCTGCCTAATCCCCAGGAAGATACACACAGATTCTGACACCAAAACAAGCAGCC